AGCCCTGCGCAGCACTCACCGGTCCGAGGAGCAGAGCCACAACAGCCTGCACCTGCCCGACGAGCAGCAGCCAGGTGAGTGGCACATCCCTGTCGGAGGAGGAGCAGCCACATGTGCAGCTCACCCCCGTCCAAAGAGCAGCAGCCGCGCAAGCAGCCCACCCCCGTCCGAGGAGGAGCAGCCACGCGTGCAGCTCACCCCCGTCCAAAAAGCAGCAGCCTCGCAAGCAGCCCACCCCTGAATGAGGAGCAGCAGACTTGCAATCAACCTGTCCAAGTCCAAGGAGCAGTAGCCCCACAAGCGGCCCACCACATCAGAGGAACAACAGCAGTGTGCAGCCAGCCCCCATCCAAGGATCAGAAGCCACGTGAGCAGTCCGCCCAAGTTTAAGGAGTAGCAGCTGTGTGTGTAGCCGCCCCCATCCGAGGAACAGCAGCCTCATGATCACCACACCCTCTGTCTTAGGAACAGCAGCTGTACATGAAGCCTGTCCCCACCAGCCACAGGAGCCACCATTGCTGTGAAAGCACCCACCAGAGGAGCTGCTGCCAACTGAGGAGCAGCTGCTACCACAACCGCTCGAGGAGCAGCCACAGCCTGAGGAGCCACTGCCTCCCAATGAGCAGCCCATGAATGACTCAGTATCTAGATATGTCAGTGAGATCAAACATGGATAGACAAAGAAACCTCCAAAGGAAAGAAAAGGAGGACTCACCAGAAAAGCAGCTAGGTGAAACAGAGGCATGCAGCATGACAGAAAAAGAATTCAGATTAAGGGTCCTAGAATGCATAAACCAGATGAAGGGAAAAAATCAACAATTTATGCAAGAATCAAGAAGAAACAGATGAAAAAATCAATAAATTATGTAAGAACCAAGAAGAAATGAAGAGTGATATAGTTGCAATAAAAAACACCATTGAAAGTCTCAACAGTAGACTAGGAGAAGCGGAGGACCGAATTAGTGAATTAGAAGACAAGGAAGCGAAACACACCCAAAATGTACTGCAATTGGAGAAAAAAATTAAAAGACAGGAGGAGAGCCTAAGGGAGCTTTGAGACAACATGAAAGGAAACAACATACG